GCCCCCCTCGTTGCTCCTTCCCTTCCCCGAGCCTTCTCCCCTCGCAGGTACGAGCTGCTGCAGCTCGCGCAGGACGCGCCGCCCCGCCCCGCCCACCGAGCATGAAGTCGGGCCTGTTCCTCTACAGGGGGAATATTCAAAAACCGGGAAAAATAGTCGGGGGACTTTTTTTGGAGTACTTTTGGGCATCTTTTGAGCATTTTTTGAATATGTTTTATTTTTCGTCCAGAATCCCCATGTAGGGGGACAGGCCCGACATAAACCGAGCACGCGGCAGGGTTCGCGCCGCGCTGATATGCGGCGGCGGCGACTCCGGCGCGGGCGTCCCAGAAGAATCGGCGACATCGAACCATCCGCTGTATCGGACAGCCACGTCCGTTCAAGATTGAACCATCCACGCGTTGTTGCGATCGACACGAGCCTGTGGGCAGGGAGGCGCGAGATGGGGGCCCGGAGGTCGGCGGCAGTCGTGTGTGGCGTGGTGGTGGCATCATGGCGGCGCCCCGGTTTCGGGTCCTGGGGCCTGCATTCAGGGATGGATCTGGCTCGACAGGGGCCCCGACTTCGGGGCCCGGGGCCCTGAAGGATGGACCTGGCCGGAGGGCGGTGCCGCAAGAACCTGAAGTCGGGGGCTCCCGTCGTGACTTTTTACAGGCACTGCGCCTTGTGTCAGTGATCTTCGCAGCTCCTGGGCCTGGGGGAGTGACGAGTGGCGGAGCGCTTCCTATTGTGAGTGCCGTATACGGCTGGTGCCACCGTCCCTGGAGGCGGGACCCCCCACGGGACCCCACAGCCCCGGGACCCCGGGACCCTGGCGCCTGGGCCGGGGCCAGGTCCAGGCCGGGGCCACGGCCACGGCCACGGCCACGGCCAGAACCAGGGCTGGCCGGGGTCGGGGCCGGGGCCAGGGGGAACCCCTCCCTGTCCCCCTTGTGAGGCCCCCCCCGGGGCCCGCCAGGCCCCCCAGGGGGCGGTGATCTGACATAGGATTCCCCCCCCGCCCCCCCCTAATCCCCCACCTACCCACCTCTACCCACCCACGCGTCAGGGAAGGGGAGAAATCGAGCGGAATCGATTTTTCGGCTCGTTCCACGATTTTCATGGGACTGGCGACGGCGACGCGACGAGAAGACGACGACAGCGTCCCACACACGCCAAAGGGTCGGCGGATTTGGTGACAAGTCCCGCCACCGTGCTTGGGTCGTGGACCAGGTGCGGTTGATGTGCCTCTGTGAGTCTGCTGGGGAGCTTCTCGGCCCTTGCCCCTTCGAGCTCCCTGGTTCGGGCCTCTTTTGGGGCCGTCTCAGGGGGCCTCCTGGGCCCCCCCATCGGGGACTTGATGGCCGTCTTGGGGCGAGTTTGGGTACCTCTTGGCCGTCTTGGACGCTCTTGGGACGCCTGCTCCCCCAATTGTGTTTGTGTTTCCGCTTGGGCCGAACGCCGGGACCGCCCAAACAGACCAAGACACCCCAAGACGGCCCCAGGACGCGCCCCTGGGACAACCTGAAGGCGTGTTGTGTGCTCCAGCTCAGAACCACTTTCCCGAGGCCCTGGGGCCACGCCGCGTGGCACGCTCCAAGAGCGTGCGAGAGCGCCCAGAAGCGCCCAGGGGTCCTCCAAGTCCAGGCCCCAGGGCCTACAGAGGCTGTGGACGGTGCTGAGTATCTGAACGGCTGCGCCCTCTCCCTCCAGCCCCGTCAGTCTTTGAGCTATCCTGGAGATGCACTTGGCCATCGTGGGCGATCTGGGCCAAAGCTTAAGGCCTGCTGAGGCCGTGTAGGAGGCGTGCGTGGGGGGGGGGCGATCTCAGAGCTGAGGGGCCGTCCTGAAACGATCTTGGGATACGCTGGGGGGCAAGGCAATGGACGGGCATGCACGCATATATATATATATATATAACATGTGTGTATATATAACATCGAACAACCTGTACACGTATACACATAGCAATACTACACTTATGTAAACATACATACATTCATGCATGCATGCAGACAGACAGACAGACAGACAGACAGACAGGCAGGCAGGCAGGCAGGCAGGCAGGCAGGCAGGCAGACACACAGACAGACTTACATATATAGTTGTATATGCGAGTGTATTTATATACGCACATGTAGGTTTGCATGCACAGCATGGAAGCGCACTGCTTACGTAGTGCTTTGTTTGTCATATCAGGTCCTGCACAGGCCATTGTAGAGGGACCTCGGTGTTCAAGTTCGCCAACTTCGGCTCTTGAAGCCCTCGCCGGAATCCTTTCGGACCGCCCTGGAAGCCTTTTGGGCGCTCATGGCCGTTAGGTAGCGACTACATAGGAATCTTGGGGTATCCTAGACAGCCCAGGAGATTGAGCCCCCTCCCGTCCCCCCAATGTTGTTGTCTGACGCCGCGCCCCCCCTGGTAGTCAGTAGAATGGGTACACTGCAATGGAGAGACAAGACACACCGGAACTAAAGACAAAGCAAACAGCACACGGCAGCAGTACAGCAGTCACAGCCTTACACCCTCAAGGGGGCCATCGGATTGCTGAGAACTCGAAGGGACATGATGACACAGTCAGTGCCTGCGACGCAGTGGTGGATTCGCTGTGCTGCGTAGCAAAGCGTCTGGGCAGCACCTTTTGTACGACGTCGGATAAGGGGACCGTTTGCGCGGACAGTCGCGCTTGTACCGCCCGCGTGCAATGGTGCCAGCGAAGTCATGGATTGCTTGTGACTTACTTGCTTCGCAGATCATGGCGCACAGCGTGCCTTCGCTTAACTGTGGCTCTCGCGCAATGTAGCCGCACGCGAAGCACGGCTTAAGCGCAGTTCGCACGAACATGCTACATTTAGCGCGTGCGCGCAGATTCTAGCAATGCTTTCCCGTATCTGTTTCGTCCGATAGGGCGACTATATCTATGCATATCCACTGCTCCCGGCTAGGCCAATCCTGGGCCCAAGAGCTGTGTATACGCCCTCCTGGCTTGGCCAGGGAGGCATATACACCGCTCCTGGGCCCAGGATGGGCCTGGCCAGGAGCAGTGGATATGCATAGATCTCGTCGCCCTGGTACGAGCCACTGCATCTGGAGATGTTGGGGCAAGTCCGCCGGCATCGGGAAGGCGGGCCCGCGCCGACTCGGGCACTCCGCGCGGGCCTCCGAGAGTCGAAAGTCCTGGTCCTCGAAAGTTCTCTCCTGGCTGCTGCCGTCGACCTCCCCCGCCGCCGCCTCCCATGGGGTGCTGCCAGAGGTGCAGGAAGGTAATCCTCGTGTTGGGAGCATGGGTTTGGGAGGACTGAGGATATCCTTGCCCGTCGGCGGCCGAAGGTATCGTTCGCTGCCTCCGAACGCTATTGCTCCTGCCCCCCATCCTCCCAACCGCTCCCTCCCAGCACGATTATTGATCTCCTCAGAGGTGTCCTTGGCTCAAGGGGTCCCCAGGATCTCCAGGGAGGCCCGGGCGGCCTCCAGGGAGGGCATCCCCTCACAAGGTCAGGCAGGGCCCTCCGGGGGCCCCGGAGTGGCGCAGAGGGCGGGGCGGCGGGGTCCAGGCCTGGTTTTCTCCACGCCGACGCCGGTGATGCATCCTCGACGTCGACGGTGCATCGCCGATGCGTCGTCGATGCATCGGCGATGTCTCGGCGATGCTGCGTGATCCTCCGACCCCATCTACTCGGACCCCATCGACTCGGACCCCCTCTACTCTCTGGCCGGACGAAAAGGGGGGGATAGGGAAAGGTGGGGCCACGAAATCTGCTGCATGCCGCTGGTTTCGGCCCCGCCGCCGGGCCCATTCCTCGATACACTGCCACCTCCGGCGCCGGGAGGCGCCGGGAACATCAGCTACGTGAGCTGACTCTCCCCCCCCCCCCTTGCTTTCCCCCCTCTCGCCCGCGGCCCGATACTCGGACCCCACTCTGAGCCAGAGACGACATTGTGCTGCTACGCTCGGTTTTCTTATATTTTTTGTACATACGTGTTCTTATTATAAGAGCTATAGGCTCTTATATGTTAAGATATGTATGTTCCTATTTTAAGGTTCTTATATGTTAAGATAGGTTCTTATTATAAGAATTATAGGTTCTTATATGTTAAGATATGTATGCTCTTATTTTTAAGAACTAACTGACCTCGGGGGCCTTGGGCAACCCCCGGTCCTATGGCTGCCCGTGGCAGGGCCCTGGGGGCCGTGCCGGGCCGCCGGCGGTGTCCCCGGCACGGGCGGCGGAGAGGCCTGCTGGCGCGTGGGGGCAGGAGAGAGGGAGGAGGAGGCGCGCTGCTGTGCGGCGGAGGGCCATCGCAGCTGGACCGAGGAGGAGGAGGAGGAGGAGGAGGAGGAGGAGGAGGAGGTGGAGGAGGACGACGAGGACGACGAGGACGAGGAGGAGGAGGAGGAGGAGGAGGTGGAGGTGGAGGGCGGGGGGGGTGGGTCAGAGGATCGCGCCGCATCGCCGATGCATCGGCGGTGCGGCTCGATGCGGAGCCCGATTTGCTTCACGCCGACGTCGCCGATGCATCGCCGACGTCGGCAGTGCGTCGCCGGTGCATCGCCGATGCATCGACGATGCATCGCCGATGTACTGGCGATGTGGCGCGATCCTCCGACCCCATCTACTCGGACCCCATCTAGGTGGCCTCTAAGCATGTGGCTCGGCCTCGCAGATTCTGTCGTTCGGTGGCCACCTGCGATGCCTCAGCCCATCGCCCCACGACTTCTAAAGGGGGGCTGGTGGGGCTCACATCGGTCGGGAGGTCCCGAGCGAAGTGGACCCTGAACGGGTAACGAACTCAAGTGTTCTGGAATTGTCATACATACAGTCAGCCCGCACAGCAAGGATGGGCAACCTTCCCAAGGGTACCCTTGCATCCTTGCCTCCTGGGTCCATCATTCGCCGCTTTCGCTGGCCGCGCCCCGCTCGCAAAGTGTTGACATGGCCCTCCAAGACTCTTGCATCCTTAATTGCCGCGCATCCTTATGACACGGGTTGGCTCCACTCGCATCCCGACTTCGGAAAAAGCGTGTTCTGTGGTCGCTTGGTGGGTGGAAATCTCTCCCTTCTGGTCTCCTCTCACGGTCTCCTTCGTGGTCG